AACTTCTTCATTTCTAACTATTTTAACTTCTATAATCTCGTATTAAATTCGTGATGATTCAATGAATAATATCATAATTGATTTTGATAGAGCTAGTTTTATTAGAATATTTAATAAACAACGAAATGTATTGATGGAATTCGATATTCACTTCTCATTCATGCTGAATTATGAATTTATTATGAAATTGAACTAACAAAATTTGAATGAATACTTGTTAATTGAAATTAGAAGTGATGCATAATGATATAATAAAATGATAAATAGAAATGATGAAATAATCAATATAAAATAAATAACAATAATTTTGAATGATATTATTAATATAAATGAATACAAATATAATAATTTAATTACATCTATTCATATTTAATATATTTGAAATACCACTACACAATAAAAGATATAAGATATAAGAAATATAAAATGAATAATATATACAAATAACAAACAAAAAACAAGTATGTATTAAAATGAAATAAAAAGAATAAAAAAGAATAAATTAATGAAATAACAGAAATATAAAATAATATGAAGAACAAAATAAGAAATAAGATAAAAAAAAAAGATAAATATAAACCAACACAATAAGTAAGAATAAGAAATATAATTATAAAAAATAAAATAGATAAGAAGAATAAACATAAAGATAGAAGAAAGCGTAAAATAAATGAAGAAGAATAAATGAAGATATAAATAAAAGAAGAAAATAAAGAATAAGCTATGAAGAAAAATAAATAAAAAATATCACATTAGAATTATAATCATTTGAATAATTTTTATCAAAACGAATTTAATAAAATATCATCAAAAAACACAAAACAAAGAACAAGAAAGCTATTAATAATGAATTTAAATAAAATAACTCTGTGATAACTACAAATTTAGAACAATTCAGGAGAGTCTTGTAAAAGAATCAACAACTTCTATGATATAATTCTTGTGTTCATTCCACTCTCTAACACAATTATAATGCATATCAATTTGTTTATCACTTTATCATCAATTTTAACGTCATTCATTTTTATTGATTTTTAAATAATCACGATGTTAAATTTGGTTGTTATAGATTTTTATATCATTCTAGTTATATGTCGTTTCCTTTTTAATTAATAAAATATAAAAGACAACCATAATAACAGATAATAAGAATGTATGTTTATTTTTAATAAAGTAAATCAAGAGAATAATAAAAATTATAAAAGTTGTTAATTCATAAAATCAACCGATAAAGACCAAAAAAAAAAACAATGAAAAGTATTAAATAACTAATAATTATCTCTAAGTAAAATGAATAAGAATTTAATTAAGAATATAAACCAATTCAATAATTAACAAAATAATTTATAAAATAATTAAACCTAGATAAAAAATAAATACAAAGGAACTTAGAATGAAAATAAGAATACAATTAATTATATCAATTTTCATTATGAATCAATATGCCCAAGAGAATGAAAATCATAATAAATTTACAAAAATAGATAGTGTTAATTGATTAAAATAACAGCTAAACTATAATTATGAATAAAAATTGAGTTATATTCTCTAATAATTTAATGGATTGTGTTAATTATTATAAAAATTATCTATAAATGTAATTAGTACAACACTTTATTGTTATTTAATGTATTGTGAGAAAAAAAAAATAAGAATTAATATAACATTCATATTCACCAATAAGTTGGAATTATGATCAATCAAATGCAATCTAAGACAATATATTAAAGAAATAAAATAAAAACTTATTCATATTATATACAATGATAAATAATGATAAATTGACATTTTATAGAATAAAATAATTAGATAACACTAAAAATTAATTAAAATATATGTAATTAATATACTACAAAAATGAAATTAAATAATAAAATGATAACTTAAAGAAAATAAATATAGTGCAAGAATAAACAGTATGTTATTTAGAAATTTACCATATTAGATAAAAATATATACCTAGAATTATCATAAATTTAAATTATGAAATAAGAAAGTTCAGTGGATATTCTCTAAAACAAAAAAGTAATCAAATATTTGATACAAAAACATTACAATAATAATAGATCAAAAAATGATAATCAATATCATGACAAGATATTATATTAAAATAATGGTAATTTGTTGTTATTTGATCGCCAATAATTCAAAATCTAAATAAATATGACAAAAAGAATAAAAAAATAGTAATAATAATATTTTAATGTTTTACAAATTATCTATAATAATTAAATATAAACAGAACTATAGATAAGAAGTTTATTCTTGAAATAACAAAAGAGAATAGAAATAAAGTTTATTGAAACTAAGCTGTTTCATTTTATAATACTAATGATATTTTATATTACTTTAATTAAATTAACTGTGTATTTTATTGTTTAAAAATTACACAGTTATTCTTTTATCTACATCCTCTCTTTATATTTTTTCATATTTGTTTTTTTTATTAAAAAAATACCTTTACATTATTTTTAAAAGAATAATAATAATGAACAAAGAGACTTAGGAGAAAGTATGAATGAAACAAAATATTTTTAATTTAATTCAATGTTATAGAAAATAACAGATCATCATAAAAAATATATATATAAAAATATCTATCTAATAAACTTTGAACTATTGATTATTCTTTACTATTCTTTATTTTTGAATAGTTTATTGTATGTTTATGTTATATATTAGTTATGTTTATTTTATCTTAATGTTAATTTGTGTATTAATAATCAGAAAAATACAATCTTCTAAATAACTATATAATTAAACTAAAAGGAGATATCTATAATGTTTGAAACAACACTATTATTATCTAAAGAGAAACAATATCCAATAACTTTGTAAGTATCATTGAAAAGAAATTCAATAGATTTTATGGTAATCAATTGACCTTATCTATGATGTGTTGTAGATAAGTTTTATAAACATTTAATAAGTTGAAAAACAAAATACTTAAATTCATTTATTTTAAAGCATCTGAGAAATGACAATCCTTTTTGGTGTAAACATACTTTTTCCACAAAGTGCATTGTTAATTCCATTATAGTTGAATGAGTTTTGACTGCAATAAGACTTTGATTTATTATTGCCTTTGCATACACGAATATCAGATTTCTCCCCAAGCAAGAATAAAAAGTTATCAGATTTAGTTCCCAGATTGAAGGCTTTTTGGTTTTGTTTTAAAGTGAATTTCGTCATACCATCTAATCTACCATTAGACCTTAGTGAAAACAAAAATGCTTTGGGGTCCTTAATCCAATTCCCAATCACATTGATTTTAGCATTAATATATCCTCCAAACTTATTTCCATCTGTATCTTCTATAACGAACAAAACGTGTTCTTTCCCACTTAACATTTTGTCACAAACAGATGTTCTTTGATTCCAATCATTAACATATGAATCAAATAAAATACTTCCAACTTTTCTATTTGTCCATTCTTCAAATTGTTTCATTTCTTTAATCCTTAGTTGTTCTTCTGATTCTTGATGGCATTGCTTTTTCCTTTCTTCTTCTTCTTTTCTCCTGGTTTCTTCTTCTTGTTTTTTCTTGAACTCTTCTTCTTGTTTCTTCTTGAATTCTTCTTCTTGTTTTTTCTTGAATTCTTCTTCTTGTTTCTTCTTGAATTCTTCTTGTAGCCTCATCATTTTTTTCTCTTCTCTCCTCTTTCTTTTTTCTTCTTTTATTTTATTTTCTACATAAACATTAAGATGTGTTTCCCACTCTTCTTTCTTTGAATCGTATTGTTTTTTGATTGCACCAATCTGTGCCTTAAATGGCTTTATGAGAGCTACCATTTTCTTTCTCTCAAGTTCAATGATTTTCCTTACTAATTTGTTCATTGACTTCCCTACTACCTCTTCATCTTTTTCACATCTAATTAGTATCCCTTCTATGACAGTCCGTACATGTTCACTTCCTTGCATAGCTTCTTTCCCCTTTTCTAATACTAATTTCCTTCTTCGTTCCACCTCGTCTAATCTATCAAACACCCCTTCTCCCCTTTTGATTGCTTGTTCAATTGGTTCATTTGGTTTGACTTGAAACTTCTCATCTCTGATACTTTCTAAATAGTATTGGTATTGTAGTAACACTTCTTGGACTGATGCTTGGAGCCATGAAACTTCTCTAGCTACTTGTCCACTTACTTGCATGTTTGTTACTTGTGTCATCTTTTTTTAGTGTTTGTGAGTTTAATAGGGGTAATAAGCATGGGCTTATAAGAGAAATATGCAGTAATTTTAGGATTGCATCACTACAGTGTTCTTTATCTAGCAATTTGTTTATTTTTTTCATCACAAACTTTAAAATAGTCAAAAAACACCCAAAGAATAACCCTAAAACCCACTTCTTCATAAGATTAATTGTGCTATAACTGACTAGATATACCTCAAGCCAAACAGACAAGGTTCCCATTTTTTGATGAACTGAATCGTTAATTTCACAACACCAATGAGATAATATCATCAACACCAAAAAATTAGACAAACTCAATACCTCATCAAAACTGTTATTCTTTCAAATTATACCACAACTTTATTCTTAAAATACTCTTTTGTTTTATTTACATAAAGAATAAATGAAATCTACAGACCCTGAGGGTGGAAAAGATTTTCATTTAATGATATAAAAACAATATAACAACAGATTGTAATAAAATATATCTTGATGGGTTTACTTCAGAAGTAAAGTGGAAGGACAATCTTAAAGAACAGTCAATAACTTAAATTATTTATCATTTCTACTCACAATAAATATCAATAAATGAATCTAAACATTCAAAAGATAAGTATAGAAAAAATAGTAGATAACATAAGTCTTTTATTCATCACAGAATTTTATAAAATTATTCTTTAATATTATTAAAACATAACATAATCATATTAATAATAAAAGTTTTAATCTTTGAAACATAAGTTTGATAAGAAGAATAAAAAAGATTCAATCTTATCTTTTATCATTTTATAAAAATGGTAAATGAGATTTGATAATTCAGAAGAAACAAATGAATTTAATTTTATTAATTGTTCTTTGTAAGAGTTTTTCACAAGAATCTCCAACATTCTATGGATTACTTCCAAAGAAAAGTATTCGACCTCTTTCATCTAATGAAATACCAACAAGATTACAAAAAAATAATACATTCTATCCATTTTTATTAAAAGAAATTCCATCTTCATTATCTTATTGTGGTACTTATCGTAAACGAAATCCACATAAAATTGAAGATTATTGTAT